CTGGCTTAATCAATTAATCATTCAAATGATCCATAATTCAAGCCCCCCAAGTCAAAGATCAACACCCAGTCTTCATCTTACTTGATTTAATAGCAACAACTGACACAAGAACTTTCTCCAACCCGAAGCACTTCCCAAGATACCACAGTGCCCTGGTTCTCTTCCTGCTTCACACGCTGCCCCCTCACAGTCCCGGGGTCTCCAGGACTCAGCCCTGGGACCTCTCTTCTCCTCCATCGTTCCCTGCCGCCTCCCACCCTTGGCCATTTCATCCAGGTTCATGGCTTCAAAATACATCTGGAAGCTGTCAGCCCTCAAATACAGTCCATCCTCATGACACACGGGTTCCATACTTGTGTAAATTTGCCTCCTTGCTAAAATTTGTAGCCGGCAAATCAATGCTTGCCATGCCTTTGCAGTCACTTTGTGGACGTGAGCAGAGAGGCTCCGGCTGAGTTTCTAAGGCGCACTTTCCCAGCTGAGGTCAAACAAGGCGACACTCTACCCTCCTGTTTCGACTCTCACGCTATAAACAAGTATCATTTTCATGGTCTAGTTAGTGTCATGTTTTTCACATTTCTGCACATTTTGTAGATTCACGGTTTGAAACGGCCCCCAAGTGCAGTGATGAAGTGCCGTCTAGTGTTCCCGGCACAAGAAAGTGGAGATGTGCTTATAGAGAAAATATGTGGCTAGAGAAGCTTCCTTTAGGCATAAGTTATGGGGCTGTTGACCATGAGTTCAACATTCAGGAATCGAGACTATATATTAAATAAGGTGTCTCTGAACTGAAATACACGTAAAACAATATCAGGCATCGATGAGTAGATGAAAATGCAGGGACCAGAGGCTCATGAGGAATCTGACCCTGATCTCCCCTGGTAACAGTGGGTCAGTATTTACTAGTTCAGGGTCAAGGTGATGTTACAGAACATCATTACTGTGCATAATGAGAATTGGCTGTATCTTGTTGCAGACCAGATCTCTCCCCAGAACTCCAGACCTGTGTTCCAACTGCCTTCTCGACCTTGCAAACTTTTAACAAATCAAAATCCGAGCCCCTGGTAATATTTCTGCAACCTGCTCCTTCCACAGACTTTTACTTCTCAAGTAAGGGAAACTGCACCCTTCCAGGGGCTCAGGCCAAAAAGACCTTAGAATTATCATTGATTTCTCTGTCTCTAAAACCCTACTTTTAGTTTTTCAGAAAATCTCCATGGCATTACCTTCAAATTTTATCTGGAATCTGACAAGTTCTTACTACTTCTCACTATGTCCCTCTGCCAACCTAGCCCAGACCCCACCATTTCTCACTTGGATAATTCCAGAGTCTTCTAACTGGTCTCCCTCCTTCCACCGTGACCCTGCACCCTGGCATCTCTCCTAGTCCCCACTTGTCTCCTAGAAGTATCCTGGTAAGAGTCAGATCATGCCGTGCTTTGCCTCAGAACCCTCCCATGCCTCCCCCAACCCTGAGTAAAAGCCATACTCTTGATAATGACCTGGTCTGCAGGTGCTCTGACTTTACCTTCTACTGCTCTCCTCTTTGCCTACCCTGCTCCTGTTGCCCCCCACGCCAACATACCCCTGCTTCGGGGCCTTTGCACCATCCCTGGAATGCTCTTCCTCCAAATAACAATATGGCCAGTGTCTTCACTTCTATCAAATCTCGACCTCACTGTCACCCTCTTAGTGTAGGCTGCCTTGACGACCTTATTTAAAATTGTAACCCCCTACACACACACACACACACACACACACACACACCCTATTCTCTTTCTGCTTTATTTTTCTCCATAGTACTTATCAATCTAAGATGTTAAGTAATAGACTTAGCTGTTTGCATACAGTCTGTCTCCCTCTCACTCAAATGTAAGCACCTTGATTGAGGGCAGGGACTTTTATCTGTTTTTCTTTTCCTTTCTACTGATGCATCCCCAGTACCTAGAACAGCAGGTAGGCACTAAATAAATAATCCTTAAGTGATGAATAATGTAGCACTACCAGACATTATTCAACCTGCCTGTTTGCCCTCTGTCTTTCACAATACTGTGAACATTTTGAAGTCAGAAATGCTGTCCCTACATTCCTAACACCAAACCACTGAGCATGGCACATAAGAGGAATTTAATAAGTGCATGCTGAACGACTGGAAGAAGGGGAGAGAGAGAAAAATGCTAATTTTCATCATGAACCTTGGGTTTTTATCAATTTAACAAATGTCTGTGCAGTGATAAATAAGATAATCCCCCCTGTAGAAAAACCTGCAGTGCAGTGGGAGACACTGATACATATGGACCCTGATGCAATGTAGTCAGAGCCATGGTGAAAAAGTGGTCAGGAAAAGAACTACGATGACAAAAGGGAGAATGGGTGTTGGGAAATCAGCCCAAAGGGGGCAACGTGTAAGGTGGGTTTTGATGGCTGAATAGGAGTTTGCCATGCAGCCTGGGTGGGGGTGGGGAGGAAACAGCCCAAACTCTGCTGCTCACTGCCCAAGGTATAGGTCTACAAGGTATGAGCTCCCCAATGTAGCCCCTTCCTTGCTCTAAGAGGACTCCCCAGGCATCTCAGTGCTCAACAAATATGAATGATTGGAACAGCTACATGCCCACAGAGCTCCTCTCTCCCTCCTCACTCAAAGAAAATTCCGTATCTGACAATGGGATTACTTGATGGCTCCACTTGCCACCCTTTAGGGTAGCAACATCAAGGGCCACATCTACACATTGTTCCCAGTGCCCAGACTCATCAGCATCTGACATCTAAACAGAACCAGATCACAGGGATGACAGCCGCTTAGAAACCCAGAGAAAGTGCCGTTCCTGGGTTCTGCCAAGGCACAAAGAAGCAAAAACCCATCTGGAAAGTGCCAGAGCTTTCCACTGTCAGAGCCCAATAGGAGAACAGTGTGATGCATATGTTAATATGGACACTTGTGTCAGAACATCTGCCCTGCAGCCTGAGAGTCAGCTTCTTGCAGGGGGAAGCTGGCGAGTCCCAGCAGCTCCTTGTCCCGGTGGGGGCCAGGGCCGTGGACCGCGCTGCAGACAGCAAAGCCATCCTGGCAAGGAGACCGGACACCATGACCTCACAGGCCTTCGCATTTCCTGATTCACCTGCTGAAACAGGCTTTTCTCCTCTGCGTCTTTGAAGAGAAAGGAGGAGAAGCACATCTCATTCATTTTTATTTGCCGCTTGCCTGGGGGCTTGGACTGAACTGGAGAAATCCCACATACACACTGCACGCACTCCCGCTCCCACCACCCCCCCCCCCGGGGGGCACATGCGTGCAGCTCCCAGGTGCAGCGATTCCAAGTGCCCCACTCCCCCGACGTTGGGGTCCAGCCAGGTCCTGCTGCATCACTTCACCAGCCCAGAACCGAGAACGCGCAGGGCGCCATGCATCTCATCCAGGCCTGGGTTGTGCTGGCTTCTCTGTGAGCAGAACCATCTCCCCCTCTCTGGCCAGCACACACACCAACCAGGGACACGGTCCCCACCCATGACGCTCACACCGCCTTTATCTCCTCCTGAGTCTGTTGCTTCCCTTCATGTTATTCTCTGTTCCCCTTGGCCAGCTCTTCTCTCCTGTCCTTCGGGCACCTTTAAATATGAGACGGTTGTGATCTAACACCGATGTTCTGCCAGCACTCGAAGAGCCGAGAAGGGCCCCGGAGGTCATTTGGAGTTTCCCACAATGCCCTGGGCCCCAGGCTCGTGAGGTCTGAGGCCTGCTTGCCTCAGCCTGGCCTGAGAAGGCCGTACGATTGTACCTCAAACCAAACAGGAATGATGCCATTCATAGAATATTCCCTCCTCTCTTTCAGGGCGGGCTGCCTGTTCTCATGAGGAAAAGCCTTCACGTTGTGTAGGACGAGAATTCAGCCTTGGTCTCTGTTTCCCAAAGTCTTTTCCAACTCCCTTTCCCCCTGCTCTCAGACATTCCCAGCTTGTACCCTCTCCCCAGACTTTTCCCACTCAGGGCTTTGGCACCAAGTTGATGCCTCCGCCTGGGACACTCTGCCCCCTCACAGCCCCAAGGCCGGATGCTTCTCCACATGCAGGCGAATACCCCAGTCTCCTTCCGGTGCTCTTAGCCATCCTAATCCCCCCAGCGCCTTGCCACTCTATTGCAAGCTCCCATTTTATCTTCTTCATTTTCTTCCCATTTTCTTCATTTTCCATTTACCAAGGCCTGAAACAACCCCATTCTTCACATCTTTGGTGTCTGTCACTCTCAACTAAAATGTGAGCTCCATGAGGGCAGGCGCCCCGTGTGTCTCATGCACTGCCTTCACCCCAGTGCCTAGAACAGCTGCCGGTACACAGTAGGCACCTTCGTATACAGTTGCTCCATGAGTGAACACATTTGTGTATATCAAAGTCTCGAAAACCAGCAAGAGCGCCCATGGCCTTTCTCCAGGTCCCCGGAAGACAGAAGGCGCTTCTCAGCATGCAAGTGTTCACCCCTGCCATAGCCTTTTCTGCATTCTGAATGTTTGGTACAAAGAATGTGGGGGTCTGATTTTAGGAAAGACTTTAGTTCTTGGCTTCTCCAGGACCGATAGGGACTGGTTACTTCAAGAGTGACTTCGTCAAGGTACGAAGAAGCAGGTTCCTCCTATCGATATTCTTTCTGGTCGCTGCCATCTCAACATTTTACATGTTCTACTTGTGTCTGCACCTCATCATTATCTTACCGCCTCACTGTAAATCACTTGAAAACACGGACACGTATGCAGGATTTCTGGCATCAGAACCCGGGCATTCCTCCAAATCAACTCCAGGCCTCCACTCAGGCCCACACCCAAATCAGACAGGATTTCTCCCCAACTATTAAAAGGTTTCAGGGGAAACTGCTTCTCTTCTAACTCACTCCAATGTCTCTCAGCCTTTTTATTCTCCCCTCAAGGGGAACGAAGACAGCTGGGATCCTGTGCCAGGCTCAGGTGCTTTAAGACAGACAAATTGGACCCGGACACACGCGCTGCGCTTACCAACATAGCCCGGGGTCCCGCAGGCTGTGGACATCACATCTCCTTTGCCCTCCATTTTTGACAATCCAAAGTCACTGATCATTATTTTGGATTCCTCATCTTGACTGTAGTACAACAGATTCTCAGGCTGGAAGGAAAATAAGAAAAAAAACGGACAAAGTGTGTTTAAAGCTGGCTTCATCGTGGGAGACTCACCAAGCCACGAAATCTTGTTTTGTTTTTTTTTTAATTTAAATTCAATTAGCCAACATATAGTACATCATCAGTTTCAGAGGTAGTGTTCAATAATTCATCTGTTGCGTATAAGACCCAGGGCTCATCACATCACGTGCCCTCCTTAATGCCTTTCACCCAGTTACCCCATCCCCCAGCCATCTCCCCTCCAGCAACCCTCAGTTTGTTTCCCAGAGTTAAGAGTCTCTCATGGTTTTCCTCCCTCTCTGATTTCTTTCCATTTAGTTTTCCCTCCCTTCCCCTATGATCCTCTGCACCGCTTCTTATATTCCACATAAAAGTGAAACCATACGATAATTGCCTTTCTCTGATTGACTTATTTCACTTCTTAGCATAATACCCTCCAGTTCCATCCACACTGATGCAAATTATAAGTATTCATCATTTCTGATCAAGCCATACAATCTAATCACAGTTTAAGAACATGCTTGACCTTCAGACATAGTAAATGCATTAAGAAAAGCCGTGTTTAGTAAGAGCGATGTCGAGGACCTTGCACAGTATTGGACACGTAGAGGTTTTCAGGAAATGTGAGTCCCTTTCCCTTATCAGTACTTTGTCTACTTAAAAAAGTGTACCTTATATTGAGGCAGCCTCGCATACCTCTCAGACTTGTCAGTTTATTTCTTGGGCTGAGGGAGAGGGGATCCCCAGAAATGACATGACTTCTACAGGGGCTCTTCTGTTCCCTTTTTCTGACCCTTGTTAGCAACCTCTCTCTAGTCCAAGGGTCTCTCTTCCCACCCTTGGTAACGTCCCATGTCTTGCCATTCTGGCAGATGCGTCCCACTTTCCCCTCTCCTGAGCCAGCGGACCCCCCCGCGCCCCGCCCCGCTCACTCTGCTTCCTGGGAAATAGAGGGATGTCATCACGGAAGACCCAGCACTTCGTAGCCATGTGTCCTTAAGTACCCTGAGATCCTCTTTGCCTTTCTGGAAAACATGGGTTGCGGTGGTTCTTCGTTTCCTTCCCGGAAGAATACATGACAGAGCTTAGCTCGACATGTGGCAGAGGTGTGATCACGGTTCCTGTCCCCACTAACGTTCTGCACCTCAGGGGCACCTCCATGGCGGCTCCATAGGAGGGGCCGAGGGGAGGCAATGCAAGGGTGCAGCAGGGAGACAATGAAGCTAATAAACCTTCATTGCGTAGTGTTTTATGAAAAATTGGGGTATCATTCTTAGCAAAAAAGAGAGAGAGAGTGGAGCTCAGGGAGACTGAGGGAGATGTTCCAGCCTCTGGGGCCGGGCCAGTTCTGCCCGGACGGAGCCTGAACACAGAAGGGCTGCCTCAATTAATGGCGTTGTCCCTGAGGGAGATAATGTTGAGGATTGACACCTCTCCTGTTCCCCTACTAGGAAAATTCCGAAGATTGACCCAGAGAATAAGCAAATCACTTCTCTCCTTTACATTAAACCTTAAGGGAAACACAACAGGAAGACTCGGAACTGGGGAAGCCACTTCCCCTCACTCTTTCTTGTCTGGCTCTTCTCTCATCCCCAAGAGTGAAGCAAAAGCGTCTCTTGTCAGTGGTTTGTGGTGAATCTTTGGTTCCTGAGTGTTGAATGTGAGGAGCCATTCTCTCATAGAGTGACTAGGGTTATTTCGAGAAGTGGTTCTGGGCCTGGCTGCCCAGCAGAATCACCTGTGACAGCACAAAATGTCTGCATGTCTTCTTCAGTGGATTTGAGATGGACCCAGGCCTCTGGATGTTAGAATCCACGGGGGGATTCTAATGTACAACCACTACTGTGAGGAAATTCTGAGAACTGCCTAAGACCCCGTCCTTGACCAAACTGTAGTCAGCCCTCTTCTTGATTAGGCCTCGACCTTGGCCTTCTGTGTCCTTCCTGTCTTGGTGGGCCTGCATAGTCCAGTCTTAGCAAGAATCCTGCTGAGTCAGCGTAGGAAGAATTCCATCACCCTTGATATCTGGCCAAGTTCTTTACCTCCCACCTTGGATGTCATTTAAAAAAATGTATTCAGACACTTGGTAAAGACAGTAAGGAAAACTTTATTCAGGGGGACCACTGCCATGGGGTTCTACAGTTGAAGAGGAAGAGTGGACTCAAGTCCTAATACAATAAGGACAAGTGGAAATTTATACCGAAGAGCAAGGGGAGGGTCAGTGGATGGAAAATTACTAAGAGGGGATGTCAAGGGTGGGGGGACTGTGGCTACATCAGTTTCAGAGGATCCTTGTTGAAAAGCAAGCCAGCGTGGGCAGATATGGAGGGGGGAGGATAAGGAATCTGATCAGATCGCAAGGGTGGGGGATGTTCACCAAAGTGACTCAGTGGGATTCTTGCTCAGCCCGGACTACATGGGCAGAGCCAATGGACTAAGGACAGAGCCCAAGGATGGAGCCTGGTCAGAAAGAAGACTCAGGAGGGGCTGAACTCAAGTTTGGTCAAGGGAGAGAGTCTACCAATGTCTAAGAGTTTCTTGGCCAGCCTTTAGCAAGAACCCCCTATCCTTGGCATCCCTTCTTAGCAACTTTCTATCTACGACCCTCGTTCTGCTCAAAGGCTATAAATCCCCACATGTCCTTGATGAACTTAGAGTTGAACCCAATTCTCTCCCCTATTGTGATATTCTTGCAGTAGCCTTAAATAAAGTCTTCTTTAGTTTAAAAAGTGTCAGAATAATTTTTTTTAACAGAACCCCCCCAAAAAATACTATCCTTCATCCAAACTCATAACGCAAGAAGGAGTGGCACTTAACATTCACAGTGACATTAATTCCATGGATGAAGCATGCGGTTAGAAGAAAATCAAATGTATGCTTGAGGGTGCTCTCAAGGAGTTTGAAGAGAGAATAAAATGGACCAGTCAATAATCGAAATAAGAATAGTGTTTAAAAAATGGGGTGAAATAATCTCATCAAAAGGTGCACATGGTCCATGATGAACAGTACGGATCTGATCATGGGGCAGAGAGGACTTTTTTTAAGTTTCTGATTTTTAATCTTCCTGACCCAGTACTTCTGTGGCTGAACAGCTAAGTAAGGAGTGGGAAGCCAGTGACCTCAGGCTACTCAACAAGGCTGCCTCTAGGCAAGAGACTGCCATGGGGCCAAATACCCCTCCTTATACATTCTTCCTCCAGGGGATACATTTGGGTCAGCAAAGCACTCTTTTGCAGGACAATTACCAAGGAAGGTTCAAGAAACTGGTCATTCACAGCCTAGATCAGTACTTGTCCACAAGCATCTCCTGACTTAGTAAAGATGGTGGGGCTTTTTCTTGAGGGGAGGTGGGGAACAGGAAAGTGGGAGAGAAGACAGGCTCAGGGGTACCCGGATGGAGGCCCCCAGTTGGCAGTAGGAGGGCTCGGTCAGGCAGGGGGCCCAAGGGGGATCTGGCAATTCTGCCTGGGGTCCCAAAAAGCCCAGGATTCACCCCCCCAAAAAATAATGTCCTTTATTTTATGACATCCTTGCAAGACAACAGGTGGCCAATGCTGGAGTTGGAAAGTCAATACCAACCCTTTAATAGTTCACGTAACAAGCTTTTAAAAGGTCTGAATCAACAGTTCCTACAAAGTTAATGTTATACACAATCACTCTCCTAATTCAGTGATTCCCAACTGGGAGCAATTTAGCACCCCAGGGGACATTTGGCAACGTCTTTGGTTGTCTCGGCTATAGGAGTGGTCCTGGGTTCTAGTGGGTAGAGGTCAGGGATGTTGCTCAGCATCCTACAATGCATGGGCCAGCCCCCCACAACAAAGAACACTGTGCAGGGGCTGAGAAGCCCTATCCTGATCTGAGGGAGCTGCAGTGGACATTACCTGCCTCAGTCCCCTGTTTTGAAAAAAGGACAACTGATTGTCTCTAGTAGCTTTCTGGGGCAAGAAAACACAAGACTACTTTTCTGGAGGAAGGGGGAGGAGGTGTATTCGCACGTGAGGGTGCAGTGGTATCCCAGATCGTGCCCTAATCTTAAACTAACCTCATCATGTTCTTGGCCCTGGAGCATACACTTTGTTTTCGTTTTTCTCAGATGTTTATGAAAATTTAATAACCCTAGCCCAACTTCTGCCATATAGCTCAAACTACTTTGTGCCTCTGAAAAGCAGCGACAAAAGGTCCCAACATGGCACTGTTCTTTCCACAGTGATCAGCCTGGCGGTCTCACAGCTGCCGGGGCTGGGAGCCTCCAATCCTTCTCTGAAAGCGCTGTGTGGGCAGAAAAAGCAGTTTCTCCTGTGCAGCCGATCTGCCTTCCAAAGGGGGAATACACAGTGCCCCTCGAGGAATGTTCTCTATGTAGGAATGCCCATCACGGGACACCTCTGCGGTCGGTCACCACGCTAACTTGTTCAGAGAGCTGCCTCCTGTGTTCTAGAAGCAGGGAATCGGCATTTGGTGAGGGCACGAGACAGCCGAGCAGGTGCCACCGCCTGGCATAGAGGGGCCAAGTGGGCTTAGCCCTCTCAAGGGCCTCTAGGTCCTGAAGATTAACCAACTGGGCTCACAGCCCATTGCAGCTCTCAAGAAGCCCGCAAAAGGCAAAAGCTGTAAGGACTCCATCAACATTCCCAAATACCCTTGTCTGGCAGTTCTCTAAGAATATTCCCAGGGTAACATCAGCATCACCTGTAAACCCCTTAGAAATGCGAGTTCCCGGGGCCCACTGCAGACCCACAGCATCAGAACCTCTGGGGTGGGGCCAGACAATTCTGACATAGGCTAACATTTGGGAGCCACTCCCCTAGTTGCTGGAAAATACCACAGAGAAGAAGAGGAGAAAACTTCACAGTGAGCCCTTACGAAAAGAAAAGCTATACCATTTATTCACACCCAGTACTAGATAATGGGCAGATACTGAAGAGCTGTTTTAAAAAAGGCTTCTGGTTTGTTCTTTAAATTGGTTTAGATTTCACATAGTCATGCAGAGCATGGCTTCACTGCAATAAAATCCCTGTGTTTATGAGGTGAGTGCAGGTGCGTGGGCTGGAGTGGAGTTTCTGTCTTTACTGGTGCAGTGAGCTCTAGGGCCTGGGCCCGTGGACGCTGTAGAATGAAGCCTCAGTCCAGCCTTCATTGCTTTTTGCTGTTCCTCCAATCAATATGTTCGCTATCTACCCTTGCTGGTGTATGTTTGATATCTACCCTTCAGTACCTATACTGACCGGGGAGGGATGAAATGCCAAGGTGCCCGATGAAGGCCCCGATCCTTCAGTGGTATTGGGTGAAGGGTCAGTATGACAACTCTTCATCAAGAAAAGATAACACTGTAACCTACAGAACACCGGGGTAAGGCTGTGATCGTAGGTTGTTCAACCTGTTTTTCTGGATAACCTTCCATTTGTCTTCTTCTGTCATGCTCTCTATGTACTCACTCCCTTTCTTTTACTCAGGGTGGTGTGCCGAAATGGGGCCAGAACTGGGGGAAGACTGTGAAGAACTGCACTGGGAGAAAGGTTTTCATGGTCAGTAGGTCCTGAACAAAATTACCTTTCAGGTCGGCTTGAAGCAAGACACAACCTACCTCCCTGGGGCCCTTTGGCTCTATTGTGGTTATAAAATCTCGCAAATGATGGCGAGTGTCATTGATCTACATCATCTTTCTTTGGGTCCCAAAGGCCCTGACAACTAACAGTACACAAATGTCCACCATTCATTCCACCCATATCGCCATCAAGGCAACCTCATCCATTTTCTGGAGCTGATCCTCTTGGACAGGTGCATTGTGGGTGGAAGAGTGGTCACGGAGGATGTTGCTAAGTGACAGCCTTACCTTGAGGTCCCTGTGGACAATGCCCATTCTATGGAGATAGTAGACAGCATCCAAGACTTGGCGGATCAGAGTGCTGGCATCTTTCTCGGTGTAAAATCCTTTCTCCACTATGCGATCAAACAGCTCTCCGCCGGATACACTGTTGTTGTTTTTTTTTTATTTAAAAAAAAGAACAAATAAGAAATTTGAGGGGACCTGTGAAATTGTTCAGGGAAAGCCATCAATAAGAGATTTCAATATGACAAAAGAACCAAACTTTATTTCCAAATAAATTCCTTTTCAGATTTAAGTTTTGCCCCATGTATTCCCCAGAAGCTATACCAGGGAAGCGTTTCTATGTCGTGATGGTATGAGTATCCAGAATGAAATAAAGGCAATACAAATAAACCAGGGCTCATGGACTAGCCAGGACTGAGAAGTCTCTTCTGGCCTTTGCTTCCATACTGCTATGACAGTGTAAAGTCAGAACAACTTTCTAGAATATTGGCATCATCAGATATAGGGAGATGGTGGATAGAATGCCTCCTTCACATAAGGAATTATCCTTAAAGGTCTGGAGGGTAGGGAGAATGGGGGGCAGCATTGTGGGCAAAGCAGTGAATAGCCAACAGGAATGTTTGGGTTCTTGACCAAGTTCTGCTCCTAATATGGTGAGGGCATGGGTGTTCCTTGAATCTCGGACCTCAGTCTTTTTATCTGTAAAATAAAGGGGTTAATCTAGTCAACCATATCCAACAGAAGGTAGGGGCATGCCCTCGGAGGCATCAGAACCTGAAAGCCAATTGTGATTTACAAAAAAAGGAAGAGGCACAACACCCCATTACCTTGTTTAACACTGATTTTTGGTGACAATATTTACTTTTAATTTGTTTTGAAATTCATGCTGCACTATACGTTTTCTTTGTGTTTACTGTGTTTGTTATTTATTGTATTTATTGCCTAGATTGGCAAAGGTCAAACAAGCCGTGGTGGACAGCCCCCAGCTCCGATATTTGCTGTTGCTTTGAGTTTAACGAAGTAACAGAGCTGCACAAATCTAACTCGGAACAATCTCCCAGCCTAGCCTTCCAACCCGCAGAATATATACTCCTCCAAGAAACACAGTGCTTCTTTCAAATAATTACACCATCTTGGAAATCAGCTTCAAGGGATATATTAACACCATTTTCCTGTATAAAAAGAAGGAGAATTTCCAAAAGCAAAATGAAGATGATTTATTTGAACTGCTAAAATCATACAACAGTTTCCCAAACAACTTTTACAGCTTTCATAGATATAGTAAAAGACATGCCCTAGCAGTAACACACACACACACACACACACACACACAGCTCTGATTCATTTTCAGCAAGTCATGGCAATTAATGGGCAATAACTGATCCACCAAAACCTTCCTTTTAAAAAACCAATAAAGAAAACCAGTTGTGGCTATAAAAGGCCTAGGTGTTCAAGTGTCTCCCATTACCGAGAGTCATTCTAAGCAATGTCATGTTTGGATAATGTCTTGTTTCCAAAGCAAACTGAGCAATCAAGATAAGGAAAGGAAAGACTTTCAGGAGCAATAAGCAATTCAGAGAGTGAACAGAAATGGAGACATCAGGGCAAAACTACCTTTTGATGACCAGGTTGTCTAAATGGTCCATCCTTAAGTAAACCCAGATCCCAAGACCTCCCCCTCTCAGCAGCAGGACATCAAGCTCTCACCAGGCTTCATGTTTTCAGATCCTTCTTGCCATGAGTTCCAGTGGAAGAACTCTGTAGACCTTGAGGGTCTACTACAGAACCTGTCTGTGTTCACTTCAGTTGATCATCTCTTCAAGCATTCATTTAAGACTCCCTGGGTGCCCACTAGGGGCCACCTATCGTGCTCTGTGGGTGTCAATCCTGGTGGCATTAGCTCTGAAGGAGGAAAGGTCTGTTTGGATTCTGCCCCTCTTCCTCCTCTGCCGTCCACCCACATTCTAATCATGGCACCCCTTCCAAGTGCTCCCGTGCTTTCTTACCACTGGTCTGCCTGCCGCTCACATCCTCTGTTCTGCAGGCTATTGGAAGAGCTCAGGCAGGAATGCTCATCCCCTGACCGCCCCCACCTCCCACCCTGAGTACTCTGCGACCCACCTTTGCCAGATGCTCTCCCTCCTTCAAAACTGATCTCTCCTGCTTCCCATTCTCTCAAAGTCCTCCCTTCTCCTATGTGATCTATAAGGTCTTAATAGATCCTATTGAATCAAATATTTGTCCTCCGATAGGGCAGCTATGCAGTAAGAACTGAAGCATCAGAGTCGAAGTGTAATTGTAACTGTAGCACGTTCTGTCACTGTCTCCATGCTCTGCACATTTGATATTTCAGTTCTGAAATTTCAAATTGCACCAGGGCTTTCTTCTGAACAGGGCTCAGAAAGTATTTGGTTTCTTTAGAAACCAAGGCAGAGGGGAGAAGTCAAAAAACTTGCCAATAAAAAAAACCCTGTAAGGATACTCATAAAAATGTCTTAAAATTCGCAAATCACTGTATACTTTTCAAAAATCTCCTTAAGCATACACTTCAAATGGCTACTGTTATGTACTAATAACTGTTTATGCCCCCTCCCATATTCATGTGAAGCCCTAAGCCTCAGTGTGATGGCATTTGGAGATGGGGTCATAGGCAGGTATTTAGGTTTAGATGAGGTCAGGAGAGTGGGGCCCTCATGGTGGGATTAGTGTCCTTATAAGAAGAGAAACCAGAGTCCAGTCCAGTCCTCTCCTCTCCTCTCCCCACCCCCCACCCCGCCAACATGTGAGGACACAGCAAGGAGAAGGCCATCTATAAGTCAGGAAGAGTCCTTAAAAGGAGCCAAATCAGTTGGCATCTTGATTTTGGATATGCCAGACTCCAGAACTGTGATGTCTGTCATTTAAGCTGCCCTGTTTCTGGTATTTTGTTATGGCAGCCTGAGCTAAGACACCCACTTATTTTGAAAACCATCTGTGAACCACCAGCATCCCAGAATCACTGATGGGGAAGTAAGTTTAGAATTGTGGTGAGGGGTGTGTCTCATTTTCAGGCCTGCAGATCATGAATAGGTCGGGTGGTTGACTGCTGAGCTGACTGACAGGTTGCCTTCTTCAATCAATATCCTTTTATAGCACGTTTCCCAAGTGCATGGTTTACAGCTCCATGTTAGAAATGGAGTACCCCAATGAGAGCATGCCAAGCACTGGGACGGAGTTAGAAGGGTCAGGGATCAGGTGATGGGGAAAAAGGAGTAGAACCATCATGACAGATCAACAAATAAAATTAATTACTGGTGGCCATGGGAGAGAGGTTCATTGTGGGTGGTGTAGATGTAGAAAGAAACTGGCTATTGGGGTGCCTGGGAGGCTCAGTGAGTTAAGCATCTGACTCCCGGTTTCAGCTCAGGTTGTCATCTTACGGTCATGGGATCGAGCACCACACCAGGCTCAGCACAGAGTCTGCTTCAGATTCTCTCCCTCTGCTCCTCCCCTCCTCTCTTAAATAAATAAATTAAATTAAATCTTAAAAAGAAAGAAAGAAAGAAACTAGCAATTAAAGAGGACAGACATCATTCAAAAATTCTCTATTCTCCTTATTTTAAACTTTTCCATTAATTTAGGACAACCTGTCTTTGCTTTGAACTTGGGTTTGCTCAGTCTCTGATCTTCCATGTCTATTACATTGTCCTGCTATCCCTGCATGTGAATTTTAAATATGCAAATATGAAATCGCAACAAAATTTCAGTTTATTTGTAAAATTTTAAGTAGTGCAAATCTCTTCAAATTAAAGAATCATTGTCAAGAAACATAATTTCAACGCTGCTGGATCAAGTACACGGTAAGTTCTGATTCCACCACAGCATACCGCGACATAACCGAGTCAGCGTACCACGCACCCACTGTTAGTACTGGGTAGACCAAGCCATTCTTTACATGCACTTGAACTTCTCCATGCAGTTTCCATAGATGTTATCCCCTTGTTTTAAAATTCACTGCTAATTGTAACTTAAAAAATTTTTTTATCTTACAACAATATCTACACATTCATTAAAAGACAGTACTTGTGCTAATGCTGAAAAACCTGCTCCTCTAGAAGTTAGGTATAATAAAATATGAAGAAGGCTGCAGGAAACCAGAATATGTCACCCCAAAATATGCCTCCTTGACATAAAATTTACTTTGAGCGGCAAGCAATTAAGAAGCAGTAAATGCAAGAAAAATATTCCCCCTCTTTTGTCTAAAGGCAAGAAATAAGTTCTCCTTTTATTGGAGACAGACTCTATCAGCTCACAGACTGCACCAGGGAATGTACAAACAAACCTCATTCAACTAACCTTTTAGCTCCCTAGACTCCTCACCATTTACCATCCCTGGCCCAAACCCCTCTGCATTGTCAATCCTTCACAAATTTATCGTTTGTGTAAAAGGTATAGAAGCTTCCAGCTCTGATCACTCCACCCAGGTCTTCGTTCTCTGGGGAAGGATCCCAAGTAACTGCCAAACTTCATTAACATGTGTGTTTTCTTCCCACTAATCTGTCTTTGTCCATTTCATCTTCAGAGCTAGCCAGGGACCTAAAGAGGGTCAAGGAAAACTTTTTTCTCTCCCTCAAAGGCCAAACAGTATAAGGCTGTACTGCTAATTTTAGAGAGCAGTCTGAGAAATACTAGCAGTAATGCTGAGATAATAAAAAGCAGTGTTATAGCAAATATGCCTTGAAATTTACAAAGACCGTTGTTACCTAACTAGACAGCAACAGTAGAAAAGAGCTGGGGACACGGCTGCGAAGCAAGGTGGCCTTTGCGTGCCCCAGAGCAACGCTGGTTATAAATGTGTTTTTCCAGAACCATCTCCCCCATTCACATGTAGTCCTAAGAGGAAGGATGAAATATGCAGGATGTGATTGAGAGAGACTGCGACAAACCCTCCTTTAATAATAAAAATATCTTTTTTTTCTTAGAATTCAGTTTCACAATATCTTCCTGGCTCAATCGGTTCAGAAAATTCCAAAACACAAACGCATGCCTCTCCACCTCATGGACCATAACTCCTGGTGTTCCATTATACTTCGATTCTGGCTATTTTGCCTTCTCAATGTCTGGGTGTTACAGACTGACTGGTGTTCCACCCACTGATTTCAG